AAACTTTTATAAAAACTCCTATCTCCCACCTTGATGCCTGATTTTTGTCTTGAGAACTTTGCCCATTATCCCCTTTGGGAGTGTGTTCTAGTCTGAATAAACTATCTTTACTCCTAAGGAAGAATGGAGGGATTTATCTACCTCTTACCATGTCAGGCATGTAAGAAGTACTCAAAAATATTAGCTCTCTGTTGTTAACGTTAGCTATAGATTGATTAATGGGAGCAAGAGAACAGGAACATCAGGCTTCCTCACCTTTCCCTTCTAAAAGAGAGCTGCCTAACCTGCCTCATGTTTCCATTTTCAGGTCACTTAAGAATTCAGGCCCCAGTGTGACCATTGTGCTACCTCTCCAGTTGCTAGATGGATGCCACATTGTATGGGCTTAGTTTTGTGAGAGAAAGTAGTGCAGGTGAATAAACCTGGTGCTGAGGAAAAACCATTAGCAGTAGCATTGGCTCACGTTTACTGATGGGATGCAGGGAACCATGCACAGGCTGTAGTAGAATGAATGTCTCCGACCCTCTGAGGAATTTATACTTAACCACCTGGGACATGGGAAGGGGATTTAAAGAGGGCTGTGATGTGACAAGAGTGGCATTCATGTTGTGCTACTCAGACTTGAAAGATGTAGGATAGATTGAGAAAAGCAAAGAAGGGATGATTTCTCCAAGAAGGTAGATGGCACAGAGAACCAGAGAGGGCCCCCTCAGTGTGGAGGTGGGGAGAAGATGTTGAAGCTAAGGTTATTGAAAAGGGCAAGGAGTGGAGAGAGCACCTCAGAAGCCAAGGGACTCAATGGTGTCAGAGAGACTATGGTTGTAAATAGTCTTACAGCAGAGCAGACAGCATGTGAGTCAAGGGAAAGGCTTTTGGGTTAGATTTGAAAGTGCTTTGGGAAGCTTTAGGAGGGCTGAGGTACAAACCACATCTACAGCACTTTAGTACTCAATTCCTTCAAATGCTACTTATAGCAGGGCAGGGATCAAAGCTGGGATACTTGAGGCTGTAAATTTTGATCTATATATGTGAACCAGAAACACAGGAGTAAGCGACATGGGGGATGAACTTCAGGGAGATGGTGAGTGATTGGAACTGCAAAATCTTCTCAGGGGTTCTTTAAGGGAAAGTCAGCTTGAAATTATAACTTCCTGTTAGGGTTATGGCGTTTTTGGAAAGTGATGAGGGGAGACCAGCAAGGGAGATAATAGCTGAGAATGGTAGCCCTTTGCATTTAGAGCCTGCTTTGGACAGGTCAGAGGAGTGAGGTCAGCAAACAGTGTGGCCTGAGGAATGACCAAAAAGGCTGTGCCTGAAACAAATAGCACTAGTGATAGTTTTGGGGTCGGGGAGAAGTCATTGAGTTTCAACTATAGGAAAACAGGCCCTTGGATGACATCTGAACTTGTGCTTTCCTCTCCTGATCCAACATCCTGAAGGAGTCTTGTGTGTACTCAGGCTTGCCTGGCTCATGCTCATGGTCCAGGGAAAGGAGAGAGAGACCAGCCTGAAGTGAACAGACATCTGGGCTCTTTCGTAGAGGGCACTTTCTTGAGACATGTGCACTTCTGATGACAGAATTTTGCTGTGATTTGATGGGTAAAAACAATACAAACCACAAACCCAAACAGCCCCCTTTCCCTTTTGTGCACACATTTCCACTCCACATTTTTCCTGGTGCCTTTACCAGGGAAACAGTATCTTCTGTAGCCTTTGTTTCTGAAAGAGGCCACCATTAATATCCTGTTCTATGAGTATCTCTTCTTTTATCAGCAAAAGGTTCACAAACATAAATGCATCCTCACCCCAGAGCCAGACTTTTATGTTTACTCTGGAGGAATAAGAAGCCTCTTCTCAGATCGCTGTCCAAATGGCAGTCATAATTGCACGTGGTTGTTTTGATTCTCTTCCTCTGGCTTTTTTTAAAAACCTCCGGCCCATCTTGTTATCCATCCTTCTGAATACATAGAACACAAGATCTCTCTGATTTAAAGAGACCAAACACCTCATAAAGGGACTTATGGGTCCTGGGTTCCTAACTCACTATGGGATTTGTGAGCCCACAGGGTTGGTTCCTAACAACGAGGAGCCCGAGTTAGATTAAATGCCTGTTTCCAACGCCATAACTCCCTGCCAATGTCCTTTGCTAATTACTGAGAGCCTGTGGAAGAGCCTCAAATTAGAAGTTAAGACCTGAGTTGATGTGGGCTTTGTTTAGGGGCCTGTGACGTTAGACAACTAAAGCATGCTTGCCTCAGAGCATTAGGATTAAAATCCAAGCATGAATAATGTGTGTGACATTGCATTGTAAAGTGTAAGCTCCCCAGGGGATGTTTTTCTGTTTGGGGGTTGTGGTTTTGTTTTGTTTTGGGGCGTTATGTTTTTGGTTTTACTTTGTTCTTTTTTTGTGTATAAGGTTTTTATTTTTATAGTATAATTCTTTTAATACATATTAAAATTTGGTTATTATAAAATCAAAATACAAAAAGGTATATTGAGAGGAATCTTCTTTCCATTTCTGTCTCTCCACTCTCCACCCACCCTGTCCCTTTCAGATTACCATTTCTGTTGGTTTCTGACGTATCTTTCCTCCTTTTGTGTGCAGACACACACAGTTGCCTTCCTGTCTCCCTCCAGTGTAGCATACTGTATACCCTCCTCTGCATCTTTCTTATTTTGTTTAACAGCATGTCTTGGAGGCATTTCCTTCTCAGTATGTTTCCATATCGGTACACTTTATTGTCTTCCATTGCCTGGATGTGCCATAGTTTATTTGACCAGTTCCCTTACTAATTTGGGTTGCTTTCAGTCTTTTGCTGTCACAAAAAAAGTACAATGTGTAAAACAGTGCCCAGCCCAGTTTAAATGCGAAATAATATATTGGCTGTCACTGCACATAAAGATATGTTGTGTGCACACAGGAACTCTATCTGTAGGATGAAGTCCTAGAAATTGCATTGCTTAATGATGAAGACAGATGCATTTGTAATTTTTAAAGATATTGTCAAATTCTATTCCATAGGAGTTGTGTCACTTTGGACATTGGCATCATACCCTGTACAAATTTAAGGCATTAGGGCATGCTTCGTCACACAGAAATGGTTGACAAATTGTCACTACTTAATTATATATTGAAATATAATATTGGTAAATATGACTTCATAAAAACAGGCAAACACTCCAATTTAAAGAGGGCAGAAGCCAGGTGTGGTGGTGTAGATCTGTAATCCTAGCTGCTCTAGAGGCTGAAACAGGAGGATTGCAAGTTCAAGGCCAGCCTGGGCAACATAGTGAGACCCTGTCTCAAAATTTTAAAAATCAAAAAATATTTTTAAAATGTAAAAAAGGACTGGGGATGTAGCTTAGTGATAGAGCACTTGCCTAGCATGTGAGAGGCCCTAGGTTCAATCATTAGTACCACAGAAGAAAAAGGTGGGTAGGGGAGGGATCTCATAGAGGTGCTTTATAAAGCTCTAAGTAGCAAGCAAACAAAATTTTCTAAAAAGGGTCAATTGGGCCCCAAGAAAATTGGTAATTATATATACCACATATTGGTGAATATCTGAGGAAATTAAATAGAAAATAGGGGATTGATTAAATATATTTTGGTTTAATCATAGATTTGACACTAAAAATTATGATATAGATAAATTGTTTCTTTAACAAAATGGGAAAAGGTTAATTGGAAAAGAAGCATGTAGTACTTTGTAATATGAGTGTGTGTAATGTGTTTTTTTTAATAAACTATCAAGTTTACATGTAGAAATTTCATCAAAGGATATAGGTAAAATTTGAATAAGGCTTATCCTAGGTGGTATATTGTAGGCAGTTTTTAAGTTTATATTTGTCTTCTCTTCCTTCTCTCCTCCTTTATTACTGTGTTTCTAAAATTTTTTATAATGAGCTTGAGGTAATTTGGGTAATTTTTCAGAAGTTAAACAATGTAAGCTGTGAGTGGTGGTGCATGTCTGTCATCCCAGCACTTTGGGAGGCTGAGACAGGAGGATTACAAGTTTAAATCCAGCCTGGGCAACTTAGTGACTTAGCAAGACCCTGTCTCAAAATAAAAAATGGACTGAGGGTATAGCTCAGTGCAAAGGCCTTGGATTCACTATCCAGTATCACAGAAAAAGAAGAAAGGAAGGAAGGAAAGAAGGGAAGGAGAAAAAAACACATTTCAGAAATTTTGGAGGAGGGTTGGAGATTTAGCACAGTGGCACTACACCTGCCTCGCAAGTGCAAGGTCCTGAGTTCAATTCCCAGTACCAAAAAAAATTTGGAGGAGAAAATCACCTACACCATGGCATAGAACTATCAGTTTATTGTTAACTTTAATGTACATCTATATTTATAATGTTTTATACAAGATATACCATTTTTATATACTTTCATCACTTAAACACTTTTTCATGGGTTGGGAGTATAGCTCAGTGGTAGAGCCTACCTAGTATACACAAGGGCCTGGTTATATCACCAACACCACCAAAAAAGAAAAAGAAAAAAACTTTCACATTACTATAGTCTTTGCAACTTTATCTTAAATGACTAATGCTCTTTGAGGTGGTTTCTCACACTTTATTAACAAGTTTGGACTGTAGACAAGAGCCAGTGAGATTCTGCTCCCCTTTCTGGGAGCATCTCTTCACCCTGGAGTTAGGCCAGCAGGTGAAAGTTTGGCAGTGACTTAACGAGGTCTGGTAGCCTGGCTTCCTTAGGTTCACACTGCTAGATGGATCCACCAGAGCAGAACAGTTAACTTGGTGTTGTGAAGCATTTTTAAATAATAATTAAGCACAAATAATTTGTTAGTGAGGTGCAATACTTCATAGGACAAAGACAACAAAAAATACTTATAATTCATGCGTGATATCTGATCTGAGAGGTTTAAATGTCAGCACTCTGGAAGGTTTTCGGAAAACTGGCCATTGGGGAGCTCTTCTGAGTGACTCTCACCTCACCAGTCTACAGCTCTATCCACAGACACTGTTTTCCTTTTACAGACAGATCCTACCCTTTGGTTTACAAAATACAGAAACATTGCCAGCTTCTTGGAGGTACTGTTCATTTATTTTATTTCTTTTTCATACCATATAAATAAGCTAGTAAAGTTTAAAGTCTCACAATCCAAACTTCCAGTACAGAGTGAGAAACCACCTCACAGAACATGAAGTCATTAAAATCAAGTCCCAAAGACTGTAGCAACATTAAAAAGTGGTTCTTTGTTAGTTTTTGTTTGGTTTAGTGTTTCAGTGGTAGGAATTAAACTCAGGGTCTTGAGCATGCTAGGTAAGTGCTCTACCTGAACCACAGTCCAGCCCTAAAATTTAAATAAAATTTCATTTCATCCTAGTTTTTGAAGTTGACTTTCTTAATCACTGAACCGTTTTCCTAAACATTAACTTGGGATCTCATTTTACTTTCTGTTCCTCCTTGCTTACGGAGTACCTGTTAATGGCCACAGTGCTTATGGGCTGAGAGCTGCAGCCTTCCTCAAATCAGAGTGGCCACAGGCACCTGCCTAAGCACAGCCTTCCTGGGTTTCAGACACAGATTCTAATCTCAATCAAACTTGAGACGAACGATGTCAACAGTTACAGCAGCCACAGTTTATTATCTACTCAGGGTACAATTAGTTGACAACCACCTAGACTGTGAGGTTTTTGTGGGCCCCCAAAGAACTCATATCCTGAAGAGAGACACTAATCAAGGCGGGTCCTCTTGGCAGGGACATTGAAAGGGTGGATTACAATTGATAGGAGTTTTAATTTATAAAGACTTAATCTGATCTGCTTTTGGAACAAGATAGTGTTAGATGTACTTACTGTCCATTTTCTTTCAGCATTCTTTGAAGGTTCATTTGATTGTATGGTGATAATATTGTTAAAAGGACAGAACTTTATTACATGAATCTGCTTCTGTCCTTTACCTGCCTCACTGCCCAGAGCTACTCTAAAATGTATTTGGCCTGCACAGTGGTAAGGAGAAGCATGACTGATGTCTCAGAGGGTATGATGTTGATCAGACTGGTCTACTTGCTCACACCTCCCTTGAGAAGGCAGACGGTGAGGGACTCGGAAAGCACATTCTCAGGTTGTAGCTGGAAGCGGTACTGGGTGGCATTGGTACTGGTGATGTTAAGGTCCTGACTGACTGACAGAAGCAAAGCCAAGGACTGTGGCTGTGTAATCAGTACAGACCAGAGCACTAGCCCAGGCTCTTCTTCCTGTGTCTCCTGTTGAGAGAGCAGTCCCTGGATATCAGCGCTCGCTTGTGTGTGTGTGTGTGTGTGTGTGTGTGTGAGAGAGAGAGAGAGAGAGACAGAGAGAGAAACCCAAGGCCTTGTGCATGCTAGGCAAGCTTCACTGCCAGTCCCCCTAAACAGTTTTTTAGGACATCTGCTTTTGAGAGTAAACATGCTGTGCCACATCAGGATGATTTGTCTTTGACTTCTTACAAGTGAAAAGCAGAATTGGGCATAGGTGAACTCACCAAAGCAGTGAGTCTTCATGTTATATAATGTCCTTTGTCAGCTTTTAGCCTACAAATTAGATTTACCACCGTGTTGCCTTTTCATTATTTAAATCAGTCATGTCTTAAGAACTGTAGTTCCCTTAGTGTGGACTGAAGACCTGTGGGTCCCTGGGGAGTTTTTAGGGGGTATACAGGGTCTTCCCTTCACCAACATACCTGTGAGAGGCCAGATTTTCTTCATTTTCTTCAACAGAACTACAGACTGCAACACATTGAAATAGACCCAGATCCAGGAAGCCATCTGTTTTCCCTAAAGCCAGACCTTGAAATGAAAAACAGTACTACTTTTCTAACTAAAAAAATAATGTTTTAAATGTCCAAAACACACTCATTTACAAAATCACTTTAGTCTGACTTGTATTATAATTTCAGCAGATACAGTGTTTCATGAAAACTGATGTACAGTATGTACAATATGCTTGTCTCTGGGGAAAAAGTCTTACTACAAGTTGAGTAGCAAAGATGTTTCTTTTAATTACATGTAGATTTTAGAAAATTGTTATTAGGTAGTACTACTATACTAGAAATGGATTTCCTAAGAATTACTCAACTAGTGAAATAAAGAGGTGATGAACTATGCTTTTCAAAATCATATTCAGAAAATCTAATGTGTCTACTTGCTGAAGAGTCTTTGCCAAAGTCTTTTAAGCTTTAATGATTAATTTCTCAGTACCTCTTTTTTCTTTTCCCAGAGCCGATTAGGTTTGGCCTATCAATTTACCAAAATCTTTTGCCAGTACCTCTCGTTTCTGATGACTAGAAAAGACTTCAGCTTTCCAGCAGTGCTGCTTTTAAATTTCCATGTGTGTATTCATTACTGCTTGAACATCCTCAAGAGTTTTAATCTAGCATGGCATTCTGTGTCTCCTCCTAGCAAGTCAACATAAATAACTCCTGACATTGCAACCAAAGTATCCTGTACAGTGTTACTTACAACTTGAATGTAACAATTGTGGGCTGGGGATGTAGCTCAGTGGTGGGCCTGCCTGGCAAGCCAAGATCCTAAGTTCCCAGTAAAACAAAACAAAACAAAAACATTTGTATGACTTCTATAAGGACTCGTGAATAAAGTTTTCATGGAACCTTACAGAATTTTAGAGTTTGTGAGTAGATCTAGTGGAACATACTAAAATTGTTTTGTTTTAGAGATTGTGATTTTATTTTTCATTCTTTTTTCTCAGTGAGTTGAAATTTTAACTTTGTTTGATTTTGCTGTACTGGAGATTAAACCCAGGGCCTTGCTTATGCTATGCAAGTGCTCTACCAACTGAGCTACATCCTTAGTCTTTATTTTGAGCCAGAGTCTCACAAAGTTGCCCAGGCCAGCTTGATACTTAATGATCCTCATGCTTCAGCCTCCCAGCTGTTTTGATTTGTAGTATGGTAAATATTAATACAGTGTAGCCATCATAAACAGCTTTAGGGGGTCTTTAATCATTGTAAAAGTGTGAAGGGTTCTTGAGGTCAGGAAGTTGGAGAACTATATTAGAGGACTCTTGTGAGAAACATCTATGCCTTTTTCCCTTCTCTTGGTCTCTTCTAGGAAATGAGTAGCATAGACCCAGGTTTCTACAAATCCTTTTGGAGAAAAATGCCTCAAGTGTCTTAATATATAGGAGGTACCACATATGGGGGAGGTGTTGTTGATTGCAACAAATGCTAGATCCTGTGAGTCCTTTGGTGTGGTTAGGTACATACTTTGTGCCCTGTTCTTTCCTGGCCTAGTAATCCAGTCTTGTTTTCAGTACAGTTCCTCACTTAATTTTGCTCTTCTTATTAGAAGCTGCTTAGGCAAAACGTTTTTCCCATGTAAGTTTATTGAAAGTATGCTTCTGAGGGGGAATTTGTATTCTAGTGGAGCTGAGGTACAGATTGATTTTTCTAATGGGAGAAGACATGTTACCAACACGAGTTCCTTTTCTCCTAGCTAGGTTCCCAGCCTGGGTTATTAGTGCAGGGTACCAACCACTCTGTTCACTGAGAAATCTGTAAGTTCTGTGGCCTTGGGAAAACAGGGGCAGCAGCCGTCTTAGTCTTTCTGATCCTCAGTCCTGCCTGATCCTCATTGCAGATTCCTTCCTAAGAAAGCAAAAAACATGTGATCACTTGACTCTCACAGTACCATCTGTAAAAGTGGTTACGTGGGAATGGTGAAATGTCTTATCAAGATGCCTGTAACAGCTTAGCTAGTTGCTGTAGGAGTTTGTGATAGAGAAGAAGAGCCAGTGATGCTGAGAAGGCGGAGTAGGTAAGAATGGAGCTGGTGAACTTGGCCTGCCCACCCTAGGTTCATCTCTCCGGGGAAGGCTGTATGAACAAGACAAGTTTCCACCCACCTGCCAGCATGCAGGGCATCACTTGCCATCAGCAAGGCAGCAGAGCAGCAGAGAAGCACTGATCTGGCACAACCATGGGTTCTGAACCTCACATCACCTGGACATATCACTTGGTTACCCTGAGCCACATATTTGTATTTAGTAAACATATGCCATGCCTGTTTACGTCACAGAATTGCTACTAAGACATAGATTAAATGACACTATAGATTGGGAAGCTGAAATACACATATAGATGTTTTGTAAGCAGCATCTTTGTAGTACTGACAGAGCTTTTGCTTTTTGCCCCACCCTCTGGATTTATGCGGCTCTGCTCTCTTCTCCAGGTTACTTGTGCATGACTGATGAGTGGTTCTCTGAGTATGTCTACGAAGTGGTGGTGGACAAGAAACACGTCCCAGAAGATGTGCTGGCTGTGTTAGAGCAGGAGCCCATTGTCCTCCCGGCATGGGACCCCATGGGGGCTTTGGCTGAGTGACACTGCCTCCAGCTCTTTCCTCCTCCCATGGAACCTGATGTAGCTGCAAAGGACAGACGGGGACTGAAGCCAAACTTGCACAGGTGACCGTGTGTTCCCACAGGACACAGTCAGACTTGGATTTCCAGTCTCCGCCAGGAACCTCTTTGGGGAAGTGTGCTTTATGCTGAAACAAAATATTCATAAAGAAGAAAACAAGGAAAAATCAGGTCATGTTATCTACTCTCCTCATCTCCAACAGCTCAGGATCTCTTAGCATTTTAATCAGATGTAATTGTCTTAACCCCATCAAAAAGGTCTTCAGTGTGTGTTGTAATAAGACAGGAGAGGATGAGCATCCCAGGTGTCTGCAGAGGAAAGAGCCCCAAGCTCCTGGTTCCTAGAGTACAGTGGGGTAGGGGTGTCTACAACTTGCGCTCTCAAGGCTGCATGTGGTCTCACAGACTGCGCCCTTCTTAAATGGCAGTCACGGAATTCAATGTTTTCAAGGCAGTTTCTCATGCCTCTTACAGCCCAAGCACAGTAGAAGGTTGATCAGATCTGACATGATTCCTTCCTGTTCTGAAATGTGGGGGTGCAGCTCTGCGTGAGTTGGGTTAAATAGAGGTTTAGAGAAAATGGGAGAAAAAACAACCAAAACCTTATGATGATCTCAGTGATATTCATTAGGAGGAGCTCAGGCCAAATGGCTTAACTTTTGCCTCTGCACTGGGGTTTGGGGGGCAGGAAAGGGTGATACTTGTTCTTTCTGACAACTAGATGGTGCTGAGAAGCTTTTGAATAAAACAATTTGCTAAATGAGAATAAGTTGACTTATGTGTACTGTTTATTTAGTTACAAATGAAAGCATCCAAGTAATTTATGTTCTTCAAAGTGAAAAAACAAGAAATGGGTGCAGAGCTTACTTGTTTCAGTTTGTCTGCGGGACATCTGATCCTTCCTGTCCTGTGCTGATCCTCTGAGGTTTCTGCAGAGGGCTCTAACCAGTGTACCTGAGAGGCCCTGTGCCTCAGCCACTTCACTCTGCTCGGATTCATGATGCCTACAAGGGTGAGAAAGGAGGCTCCTTTGGCCTGGAGAGCGTGGATTTTACTGAGTCTGGGCCTCCATTTCATTAAAAATAAATAAGCAGGGGCCAGGGATTTAGCTCAGTGGTTCTGGCGTCTGCCACACAAGCACAAGGACCCGAGTTTGATCCCCGGTACCAAAAATAAATAAATAAATAAGCAGAAGCAGAGTCCTGATCAACATTTCCATCAGTACCTGTTCCGACTATTAGTCTGGCTCCCCAAGAATCTTCCCAATCATATCAGGGAATTGTCTGCCACAGCACTTTGCAAGACAAAATTAGAATAGAGGCTCAAGCTTTAACCAAAGTGTTTATAATATTCTAGTAATCCTGTTCCAAGCAGGATAAATAAATCCATTTCTAGACACATCATGCTAAAACCACAGAACAGGTTTTAAAAGCATCCAGGAAGAAAAGCCAGATAACTCCCAAAGTGAAGACAATCAGGTTGTCAGCTCTGATCAGCAACTATATATACCTGAAGGCTGACATAGATCTTCAAAATGCTATGAGAAATTGACTGTGAACCTGGAATCCTATGCTCAATAAAAATGTCTTTTAAAAAAAGGGTGAAATAAGATTTTCAGAAAAAAAAACCACCTAAGTTTGCCCCAATAAAAGGGAAGTGACCCAATACAAAGCATTTGAAATGCATCAAAGAAGATGAAGAATGTGATAACTTTGAGGATCATTTAAAGTAACTGTAGAGGGGCCGGGGATTTAGCTCAGTGGTTTCGCTGCCTGCTGCTCAAGCACAAGGACCTGAGTTCGATCCCCGGTACCCCCCCCCCCAAAAATTTAAAAATAAAGTAACTATAGGGGCTGGGGATTTAGCTCAGTGGCACTGCCTACCTCGAAAGCACAAGGTCTTCAGTTTGATCCCTGGTACTGAAAAAGAAATAAAGTAACTATAGATATGTCTTATAGGGTTCAAAAGATAAAACTAAAATATATGAAATCAGGTAGGTGGGGAGGTGATCAGAATTAATATAAGGGCCTTGTGTGTTCAAGAAGATAAATATACAGATTGACTTTATACTTTGGTATGTTAATAAGTGTGCTAAAACCTTCTAGATTAACTACTAAAAAATAAGCAGAGGATGATAGTTTGCAAGCAAGTAAGCGTAATAGAACAAGCTGGGCATGGAGTCACACCTACACTCGCAGCACTTGGGAGGCTAGGGCAGGAGGATCGCTTTGAGTTAAAGCCCAGCCTGTACTACATACACATTGAGTTCAAGGCCAGCCTGAACTATATAGCAAGACCCTATCTCAAAAAAAAAAAAAAAAGAATAAAATATACATTGACAACAAAAGAAAATATAGTCAATCCGTAAGAAGACAAGATGAGAGAAAAGGCAGGATAACTAGAGTATTCAAAATAGGATAGTAGAAATAGATCTAAATATGTCAGTAACTACAGTATACATAAATGAATTAAATGTAGAAAAAAAACATCAAACTTTTTTTTTTTGGTACTGGGGATCGAACTTGGGATCTTGCGCTTGCGAGGCAGGAGCTGGAACCACTGAGCTAAATCCCTGGCCCATCAAACTTTTTTTAAAAGAAATGCAGCCATCTGCTCTTTATAAGAGACATAGATAATCTAGGATATTAAAAAAGGATAGAAAAGGGCCTGGGATTTAGCTCAGTGGTTCCGCCGCCTGGCTCGCAAGCGTAAGGACCCGAGTTCGATCCCCGGTACCAAAAAAAAAAAAAAAGGATAGAAAAGATAGACACTAACCAAAATAAGTCTGGTAAAGCTATACTATTAAGCCTCAAAAATAAAGGCTGAGTAACCAAAGAGACCATCTAACTCTAGGGTCATTGCATGAACTGTGCTACGAATGGCCTCCCAGGAGTTGCACATCACAGTGGCCCTGGAAGGACTTAGAGATAAAAGCCTTACTAGAGATAGAATCACTACATAACGATAGGCCCATTCACTTCTCCAGGAAAACATAAAGGTGCTAGGTTAATACATAACACCTCTAATAACATAGTCTTAAAATGTTATGAGACCAAAACTGAAAACCATATGGAAAAATACATAATTCATAATGGGAGGTTTTAACATGCCTTCATGATTCCTGGTAGTTCAGACAAGCAAAATATCAGGTGAGTATATAAAAGATTTATGCATTTAGTAAATTTGGTATAATGGACCAGTACAAAACACTTATCTAGTGACTGCACATGCTTTTTGAACACACATGGGACTTTTTCAGTTGACCACACCAGACAGTAGAGTCAACCTCAACGAAAGGGGGAGGATTGTACCACCCTCCAGCCACAGTGCAGTTAGGTGAGAAACCAAAATTAAAAGATAACTAGAAATTAACCCCTATGTACTTAGTAATTTAGTCCAAGAAAAAAATCATAAAGGAAATTTAACCTAAACAGTAATAATACATATCAAAATGAAAGATGCAGCCAAAATAGTACTTGAAAGAACATTTATAGCATGAAAATACTAAAATAATTTTATTAGAATGTAAGAAAGGCTGAAATTGAGCTAAGTGTCTATTTCAAGAAATTAGAACAGCAAAGTAAACCTACAGGAGAGAAGATATGACAAAATTAATCAGCAAAGTCAAAGTTGGTTCTTAAGGGAGCACATTAACAAATCTTTGGCAAGACTGAGCACACACAAAAAGAATTAAAAAGGATAACAGGTTGCTGCAGATATTAGAAAAATAAACACTCAATCTTTGTCAAGAGTGAAGACATAAATGCACAAATTCATGAACAAGAGAGAACAATATTTGAAGCTGGAAAGAAAATAGGGTGTTAAAGATTTACAGAGCCGAAAAAGTTGAGTCCTGAGCCAGAGATAGAGAAAGCTGGTGATAAGCCAATGTACATTGCATAACTCCCCGAAAGTTCAGCCGTGACAGCACCAGATAGCATCACCTCTGGGAGTAGAAGGAGGGTCACTGAAGGGTTGAATGACTGTTAGATCTCTCACTACTTAGGGCAGCACGGTGACCACTCCTCCATTCATTAGAGAGTTCTACGGACAGGGAAAAAACATTTCTGGTGTAGAGGTCAGGAACAGAGGTGAGGGTCTAAGTACCATGAGGGCAGGAAGTGAGCATTTACATTCTGAAAGTCCTCAGCCATCTGGAGCTCTTCAAACCCTCATAGGCAGGGGATCAGAAGTCTTCTCTGTGGAATCTTGATTATCCTAAGAGGAAAGATGGAAATAAAATCCAGTATTTTATTGCTATGGAATTATTTTATAAGTCTAGCATAACCTTAATAAGGATAGGAAAGAATTTATATGCAAATTTCATCCATAAATGTAGATACAAAAGTAATAAGCCAAATCTAGCAATATTTAAGAAGATAATCTTTACAAAGAAATTCTTAATAAAAGCCATTTTTCAAACAAAATCAGGATCCAATAGAGAGAAACAAAGAATGGTGGTTATGTCTTCTCTGCTGAAGATAAAGGGCAGAGGGTAACATTTTTGCCAGAGATCTGAACCAAAAGAACTTCCTGATACGTGGGTGACAGGCAGGCTAGGAAATGTTAAGGTGTGGGATTGTTCTCTCCATCACTGAATGACTGTGTCAGCAGAAGCGAAGTTGATGAGATGTCTGGAAGGTCTCAGTCAGCCCAGGCCTCATCCATTCATATGTGTCCAGAAGCCAAGGCCTGATACAGGGACACACCATCCGGATGTGGTTGTGGCCATCTGCTTGCTTTGATCCTCAAAGAGCAGGGTAATTCTATCTTGCTGTTGGCAGCACCCAGGCACTTGCACTTGAATTCCCATTTGTGCTGTGGGGAGGGTGTGAACATCGTGGCCAGCCGTAGCTGTGGTTAGTCATTTGTTAAGTTGGACTTTTCAAGTGATTCCAGATGAGTTCTCTCCTGTTGAGGACAACTTGTTCTGAACCTTTGTTGCTTCTCATTGAAGATGACTCTTCCTCCTCAGGGTCTGTTACTAACGGATTAAAAACTGGATATAAACTTCCCCAAGATTCTCTTTTTCTCTTTTCAAACTCCAAGTCCTTTACTTGTCACTGCAGCTGGAAAGGAAGAAAGAGAGGGAGGGATGTCCACCTCCTACCAGCTGCAGGTATTTGGGACAAAGTGGACAAGGTGTGTGGAGTTGGGCAGCCCTGTGTGTTCTTCTTTCCTGAAACCTCACTGCCTCTCCTCTTGCTCCTCTAGAAAACCTCTAGCTCAGTAGCACAATTGAAAGTGGACAAGGTGATCTCTGAGCCATCTCTCTGGCTACCCCATGACAACTGACCTTTGTTGTTTTAAAGTCATGCTGTGGAGGATAGGACAGCTGCATCAGGGTGGATAAATGGTGGAAAGGATCAGTGTGGTGGACTTAGAATTGTAGTATTTCTGGGACTGGTGAACCGCTTGCCTAGCATGGGCAAGGCCTGGGTTCAATCCCCAGCACTGAAAAATAAAATAAAATAAAATTGTAGCATCCAAGGGCCAAGGATTTAGCTCCGTGGTTCTGCCGCCTGCCTCGCAAGCACAAGGACCCAAGTTCAATCCCCGGTACCAAAAAATAAAATTGTAGCATCCTTGCATCTCACCAAGCAGGGAGGGACTGTATAGGTCATCTGGTCCAAACATCTCCAAAACAGTGGTCCTTTAAATTCCGTTTAGACAAATTCAGTAACAAAGACACAGCTTCCCCTGCTCATACCTCGCCAGATTCAACTTACTCACTTCCTTTCTTGTTCTGTCTGCTCTGGCCAACTGCCTGTCCCCTACTTTGTCCCTCATACATACGAACCTCAGTTTGGCTTCTTTGCTGTTCCCTCTACTGAAAGCTTTTCCCTCAGGTCTTCACGTGGCTGGATTCTCATTGCTGAGTTGTGGCCCCAGTGTCAAGTCCGTCCTTGATCCCCTGTCTAAGTAGCCAATCCCCTTCCCCACTCCCTGTAGCTCTTCCACATCTGTCACTCTTTGTCCTCCTATTGGAGTCTATTTTTTTCACAGCACTAATTGCTTTCTGAAATTATCTTATTTATTTATATGTTTATTGTCTGTTTTCCCCAAAGTCAATACTCCCTGTCAGCTCTCCAAGGGCAGGAAGTTTGTCTTGCCTACCAGTGTATTCTCAATGCCCTGCTCCTAATAAATACCAGGAGGCTGACTGATGAAAGGTGCCCTGCATTCCGACAGCTACAATTAATTAGAAGTTTATACATAGATCCGAAGTCTGTACCTGGCTCAGTGAGATCTTGTCATGCTTGGCTTAAGTGAGATCTTCACAAGCAAACAGGCCAAGGAAACAGGCCACTTTCAGCAAACAACAGGCTCTCAGGAAACAGGAGACAGACAATCTCCCCAGCGCCAAAAAGTCCAGTGATTGTCTACATACCTGTGCTGACCGTCCTTAGACTCAATCATAAACATTTCACCCCAGATTCCGTAGCCTCTTCAATACCTATAAAAGCCTAATTCCTGTCCCAGTTAGCTGCTCATGTCTCTCTCCTGGTGTTGGCCCATTCACTCACGGATGAAATCTCTCCCAGCTAGCTGCCACTATCTCTCTCTCCCAATGTCAGCCCATCCACACACAGGTGTAATAAACTCAGCTTTTCCCAGCTAGCTGCCAGAATCTATCCCCGATTTTAGTCCCTCATTTTAATTTCTGTTTACTGGAATAAACTTTTCTTTTCCTCACAAAAAGCCTACTTAAACAAGTGGTTTCACATGCACTATATATAACAGATCAGGATGTGGATCTCATATTTCAAAGTTTAACATAAAGGTCTAGATTCCATGAAGGTGGCCAACATGAGGGGACTAGAAAAGGTGAGGAGAAAATCATGAAACCCATTTTACTTCCTCCGTGCTTGAACCCTTCATGTTCCAAACACGGTTCCCAGCCCGGTGGGAGGAGAAGGGGTGTGGACTCAGGCAGACAAACTAGCATTGCCACTTGGAGACTGTGTAAGGCTGGAGAAGTCACCTAACATCTCAGAGTCTATTTCCATACTACATATAATGAAGCATTATTTGTAAATATATTTAATATGGAAACTCACAACTTGAAAAGGAGGAAAAGAATTTATTTTTAATAACATATACAGGCTGAGGCAGGAGGATCACATTGAGCCCAGTTTGGGAACTTGGCAATTTAGTAAGACCCTGTCTCAAAATAATAATTATTATTATTTTTTTTAAAGGGCTGAGGGGATATAGCCCTCTATATCCCCTGAAAAGGCACTGGACTCAATCTCTAGCACCACAAGAGAAAAAAACAACACAGTAAAACACAGCATAAAACTTGTACGGTAGAGAAAGGACAAAAGACAATACATATAATGTGCCCCGTAGATGCTTAATAAATGGCAGCTTTTATTTAAAAAAAAAAAATCAGTTCTCATGAGCTTCTCCAACAGAACCAGCATTGTGCTAGGCCCTCTGGAGGTTAAAACAATTCTGTTCTCCAACTGAGCCCTTCAGATGTCGAAAAGGAAGATGGCTTTATATGCACACCTGCAGAGTCCTGAACGGGTTTGAGGTTGCAGAGGGAGAAGAGGCACTAACTGGTTTTAAACTAACTTCTGGCTACAGCGATCACAGCCATCAAGGACGAAGGTGACCAGCTTCCTAAGAAGGAATGGAAGGGAAACTCCCTGGGGACAGAGGCGCATGAAGTCCACGGAGGGGAAGAAGAGCCAGAGAGACTGTTCTGTAACCTCACAGTGCAAGCGGGCGAGAGAGAAATGGCCTTTGGAGCTGGGAGCAGAAGACTCAAATTCTCAGACATTCTATCCCTCAGATCTGATTCTGAGCAGAGCACCAGACTTCACTTCTGGACTCACAGCATCCTTACTAGTCACGTAGAGAAAACGTTCACCTCCTTCTTATGTGAACAAAAATAAATTTTAAAAATCTACAAACAACAACGGCAGCAAGTCATTTTTCCTTGTATGTCTTTAGACCATGAAGTAGAGCTGGGTCCCTTGGAATCCTTCGGGGTTCTTCCCTGATCTGTGAAGCTTGGGGTCCTTTAGATGTGCTTTTCCTCTCCTTTCTCCTCCTCACCTTTAAAAATAAATTAAAAGAAAAATTTAAAGAATGTTGCTTTTAGCTAAGCATCATGGCACATACCTGTAACCCCAGCTACTTGGGAACCTGAGGCAGGAGGATCTCAAGTTCAAGGCCAGCCTGGGCAACTTAGTGAGACCTTGCTGCCAAACAAAAAGTAAAAGGGCTGGGGATTTAGCTCAGTGGTGCCACCGCCTGCCTCGCAAGTGTAAGGTCCCGAGTTCGATCCCGGGTACCAGAAAATAAATAAATAAATAAATAAATAAATAAATAAGGCTGGGGATGTAGCTTAGTGGTTAACACCCCTGGGTTTGATCTCCAGTACCAGGATGAAAAAGAAAACTGTCATGCTTTTTAACTGATGTCTGAGACTCCATTGTTGATGTGCTGTGATGGCCTTTACAACCCTCGGGCACTGGTTTTTTGTTTATTTGGGGGTTTTTGTTTTGTTTGGTACCGGAGATCGAACTCGGGACCTTACACTTGCGAGGCAGGCGGTGGCACCACTGAGCTAAATCCCCAGCCCAGGGCACTGGTTTTGATAGCAGGTTAGAGTAAGAGCCACCTTCCTGATCACTCAGGCTCCCTCCAGCAAGGTCCCCCTGCCAGACTCCTAAGAACCTTCCCTCCATTCTCTTTACCCTGCTCCATCTGGAATAGCTGGCTGCTGTATTCTCCACTCAGCCCAGGATTCTCAGGGCAGTGAAGCCTGCCTTGGAGACCTCTGCTCTGCATGAGGTTGACATGAAGTCAGAGCCCTCATGATCCAATCATCTTCCAAAAGCCCTGTCTTTGCAGACTGCTGCATCAAGCTTTCCACACATGAGCCGGGGTGGGGGACATTTCATACCAAACCCCAACACAGGGAAACATCTTCCCTGGTGCCTAACTGCAGTTGTGCCCAGCCAGGAAGCAGAGAAGCCTCATCCTGGGGAATAATGGTGATGTCCATCCACCCACCCTAAATTGGAACGAGGAGGGACAGTCAAGTGACACTCTGCAGGCTGCAGGACAGGGCATCAGAATTGGGATCTTGATGGAGAGAGAGCCAGATGCCAGAGTAAGGCAGGGCAGTGTGGCCATAAGTATCAGAAACACCAGGGAGCAGGGTGCTGCAGCCAGGAGAGATGCCAGGTCTGTTGAGGGGAAATAGAGCAGCCGAGGTTAGGTCATCCCTGATGCCCAGGAGATAGGAGGAGCATTGGATCAGCTGGATGCAGTGCTACACATCTGTAATCCCAGCACTTGGGAGGCTGAGGCAGGAGGATCGTTGTGAGTTTGAGGACAGTCTGGACTACATAGTGAGTTTGAGGGCAGCCAAGGCTACACAGCAAGACCCTATCTCAAAAAAAATTGCTTCAATATTTTGCAGTCTTATTGGGGATGTTGTGGTAACAAGGGAAAGGTACTGTTGTGTGGATCTGATGTCCTTTTCTGAGTCCTCCTTAGCCAGGAGCAGCCAGGGAGGAGATAGCCTGGGTGTGCTGGCTGAAGGGAGAAAGGGCACAGGGGGACACCGATCACTCCCCACAGCAGGGTAGAGGCCACCATGGTTACCATGCTGTCTCACAGACAAGGCCCCCAAGGGAATGTCCCAGAGGCTGAGGTTAAGGGCCTGTCAGATCCACAGATATTAAAGGGGCAAAGCCAGAACTGCACCCAGTTCCTGGGACTCTGGCTCACGCCCAGCACCCACACAGGGAGAGCAGGCAGTGCAGCTGGGCAGGAGCACAGGAAGGCCAGGAGTAGGGAGGGCAACAAATGAATGAGACTGGAAACGGTGTTAAAGTCACGTTGAGACAACTGGGAAACAGGGGGGAGACCAGAGCTTTTGCCAACTGTTGAAGTCACCCCAATGCCTCCTACAGCTATTGGTCCCCTCGATCAATTGGTCTGCCCTGTCCCTTCCTCAAAATCGCCCTTTAGGTTTGTGCAGCCCCTTGTCTACACAGCATTAACACGTCTACTGAAAAGGTAGGATGCTGCAGACCACTGCGTCCATACGAAGGTGAGCGTGGGGTGCGGGCCTGCTCCCCGGGGATGCGGTCAGGAAACGAAATGCCCGTCCTCTGCCCAGGATCCCCAGCCTGGCCGCCCCGCGGGCGCGCGAACACTAGGGCTCCCCCTGCAGTCCCAGACCTGGCGTCTAGGTGGCACCAAAACGTCATACTGATTGCCCTGGGCTGGCCGCCTCTGCCGGGTGCGCGGCTCTCTGGGCTAAGTTCCCCCAGGTATAAAGCTGCTGCAGCTTTCCCGAAATGGAGACGTATCGTCGCTGCTTCCTTTCTGGCTTGGATTTTGCTACCATCCCTTCCTCAACTCCCAGGAGGAGAGGGAGGCTGGTCAGCCCAAGCTGACGTCTCTGCCTCAGGGACAGCTCAAAGCAAGTACTGCTTCTCTTGGGGGGGGGGGTGATTTTAGTGAAAAGGCAGTGTCATTCATAACATTAAATTCATTTTTAAGCATAATTTAAAAAATTAACAAAACAACCTGTGCACATGGTGGAAAACATGGGCTCCTTTATGACCCCCCCACCTTGAGCCAACTCGGCGGGCCCTCTGCGGCTGGGGCCCGCCGTGGTTCGTGGCCGGCCGGTTACAGGCTGAGCGCGTCTTCCGTCCATTCTGCAAGCATTTATTGTGAGCAGCTGCCTGGGGCTCAGGGGACCGAGGAGAATTATACGGGGTCCCTTCAGTTGAGCTCACGTCCCAGCCGCAGAGCCAGAGAAAACCGCAGAGGGTCGGGCCCGGTCAACCCCGGGAAGAGAAGCCGGGCGGAGGGGAGTCTGTGGTCCAGGAAGATCGCCCCGAGCACCTGAGACGGAGCAGAAACCCAAATACTTTGGGGCGCATTTGGTAGGGGAGGAAATGAACCTCCAGAGTGGCGCAGCCGTCCCGCGAGGTTCAAGAGCAGAGAAGTGGGACCCCCCGCCCCGGGAGCGCCCCCAGCCGCGGGGAAACAAAGTTTGCTCGCCTCAAAGTGACGCAGAGTTTCTTCAAGAGCTCTTTGGCAGCGGCTATCTGGAGATCAGACCATGTGAGGGGCCGAGAGTACAAATAGAGCGGCGCGGTCGCCGGCTCCGCACAGCGGCGGACGCCCGGGGCCTCGAGGGCGCGAGAGGGCGCCAGAGTGCGCCGCTTCCCCGCCCGGTCCAGCCTCCCTCGACCCGCCGGCAGGTGGGTCGCTTTCCTCTTCGCCTCTAACCTCCGCTTCTTTCCAGATCCCCGTCCTCCCTCGCAGCGGAGCCGCGCCTCGGGGCTCCTTTGTCCACCGCAAGCCCGGGCTGGGCCAGGAGGAAGACTCAGTTTTAAGCAGAAGTGCAGCGCTGCGCTTTAAGGAAAAGTTGCCTTAGTTTCACCCCGTTTTATATTTGATCATCACTTTGCTGCCATCGCGCCCAGGTGGCTTTATGCGTTTGTGCAGAGAGGATCCTGGTGGACACAGATGCCCAGATATCTAGGGAAACCTTTGAGTGACAGCGACGGGAGCCGAGTCTCGGCTCGCTTGGGTTGTTCGGTGGCACAGCGGACACTCGCTCAGCTCCCTCTCAGGCCATTCAGAATTTATGGGGAACGCAAGGGCTCTCCTGCGGGTGAAGCCTGTGCGCGCCCCTCCGGCTGCTTGAGAACTGTGTGCGCTCAAATTGGTTTTGAAAAAGCTCTCCAGAGCTAAGAAGCTTTTACTTATGTAGACTGAATTGTCCCTACTCCGGTTGGGGGGCTCTAAAAAAATCTGAGGATAGAACGAGTCAGACGTTACAAACGCTTGCGTGCATTTCTATGATCAATTTTGTCCAGAAAAGTGAACCAGGTCAATGGATTATTTATGAACCTGCTAGCTGTCATCATAGTAAGACGAGATCAAATATTTAATGTGTTGTGCCTTCAGTTACATAGAAAAAATGTCTAAGAAGGCAACACTGGGATTTGTGTTTAATGAAAGGAAGGGGAGCTAGGGGCAGCATTAGTGTCTGGGTGTGGAGGAGTGGAGGAAAAACCGCAGCTTTCACTGTCTCCCTGTCAATGGCTTTGTGTGGAGCTATGGATGCTGGAAGGCTCGGTTTTTCTACTACAGACCCCTGGGTGTTCGTGACTGTTCCACAAGGGTGAGAAGAAGGCTCCTCTGCAGCGCTTGAGAATTTACCGTGTGTGTGTGTGTGTGTGTGTGTGTGTGTGTGTGTGTGTGTGTGCGTGCGTGCATGTGTGTGATGCTGGGGATTGAACCCAGGGCTTCACACCTGCTAAGCATGCCTCCTACCACTGAGCTACACAAAAAAGAAATGTATCTGGATATCCAGGCTGGTAGTTATATCTCTGAAAGACTTAGACAGACTTTCAAATAGTCTCTGATTCATTATAAAGTAGAAAAAAACCACACCCAAAATGGCCGCTCCATTTCCACGTGTGGGGGTTTGATTGGCATGAAGTAGTTTCAATCTGCTCTTGCTCAAGTTCGGTGAAAGAGGAGAGACAGAGAGAGGAAGGAAGGAAGGGAGGGAGGAAGAAAGGAAGGAAGCCAGGCTGAGAGAAAGAAAAAAACCCATACTGTGGTATCCCATCTAGGAGATTTCAGAAGTAATTACCAGCCCAGATAGTCAAACCCATTTCTTTCAAGCTCTTTGTTTCTTTCACCTCTTTGTTGAAGGTGAAAGGGGAGAAAGAATAAAGTTGAAGTATTATTGGAATCAGCAAGACCTCAAAGCCACTTGAGAGTGGTTCAGAGTCATCTGAAACATGGAGAGGCTTGTCCGAAAGTTTCACAAATGGGCAGGGTGACTGGAACAAGAATGCTTAGCTGGAGGGATATTAGGAGTGTGGGTTGGGCTCTCTCTGTGGCAGGCTTTCGAAACACTCTGGATGTCCCCGCCAAGGAGCAACACAGGTAATTCCAAAAATTAAGCCTGCTCATGGCAGAGTCTTCTCTTTCATACATTTTTTTTTTCTTTTTTGGTACCAGGGATTGAACTTGGATTCTTGCGCTTGCACAACAGGTGGTGAAACAACTGAGCTAAATCCCCGGCCCTCTCTTTCATACTTCATGCCGTCTTTTATTTATTTATTTTTTTTGAGAAAGCAACTCCGGACTTACGTTATTCCCAGTAACATTTTAGCTCTGCTGGGTCCCATGATCTTGGGCTCCAAATGACCAGGAAGCAAGGAGACGTGCATTACATGGAATCCAAGTCCCCTCCAATTCATTCTCTAACTGTGCCATGAACCTCTCTTTCCTTTAAGAAAATGGGAGCTGTGTTGATGGTGCAAAATTGCCCAAGAGCTTGGACTCGACTCAAGATGTTGTTGTCAAATTGGGGTCTTCTGGGGGATCTCCTGGGGTTTCACTCAAAGGCAGAGGCTTCGCCCACTCTGACACGTGTAAGATAAGTCTTACATTTCAACTGCACCCAACCAACAGGAACTGAGTTCTCCAGGTCCCCTAATGCTGTCTGCAAAGTACCCAGGGTGTGGTGCTGGGGAAACATTCCCCAGGCACACAGATTTGTACTGTGCCTGCTCCTCCTAACCAGTCCCGAGGTATTGCAGATCAGCCACAGTCTCCTGAGACCGGTGGCATTCGGCGGTACAGCCTGGGTGTGGAGACCATCATAATAAGCACTAGTTTCTTGGGACAAATGGTACAGATGTACCATTCTCTTACAGGGGTCAGTTTCTGTGCTCCTAGGGGCAAAATAGCATTCTAAGGAAAGTAAACTGACATCTTTCTAGGAGAGACCTTGGTTCAAAATAGATAAAAGCAGCCTTTAAAAGACACCTGGCATAATTGATCATGCCTGAGCAGAGAATTGCATTCCATTTCTAGGGTGGGTATGAGACCCTCGAGGGCTGACACAGCCCCCTTATTAGTAGGCAGAGTGCTGTCCATTGACTTTGGTCCACATTCAGCAATACAGGTCTATGAGTAATGTCTCTACATGAGACACTCCCTCCAGCCTTCCCGTTTTTAGCTCTTGGTGACTGGGAAGATAAATGCTCATTTATTGAATGTCAACAGCACAGTTTTGAACTGAGCAAGTGTTTTCCCAACCTTGTGTCTGACAGGGTGACAAAATGAATAGAGATAAGGCTGTTTAAGGCTGTGCTAGGCTGTCTGACTGCCTTGTTATTTCTACCTTTCCTTTGGTGTCCCTGGAACCTGGCCGCAGCCCCCTAGCTTCCGTCCTACCCTGAACCAAGGGGACTTGTTAGTGGGTATTTAAGCCACAGCTCTTTAAACTCCATGACTGGGTGGAACTCTACTGACCACAGCAGCCTCTGGACTGCAAAACCAGGGATACACCCTGTGGCATAAAGACATGGAGGTGATGTCCCAGGCTCTCCAGAGACTGACAACTGACAAATGGCAGGGGAAGGTCTCCTGGGAAGGCTGAGGTCCAGTTCATGTCATCATCATCATCATCATCATCATCATCATCACCATTATTATTATTATTATTATTTTGGTACTGGGGATCAAACTGAGGACCTTGCGCTTGGGAATCAGGCGGTGGCACCACTGAGCTAAATCCCTGGCCCCATATCATTATTTGAAGTAGGGAGGGCACAGGTGAGAGAGGGGTTATGACCGGCCAGGCGGTAACAGGGGAGAGCGCTTCTCAGCCAGCTCAGGAAAGAGCCCCAGGTGTCGGGGTGGTGGCAGGCAGGAGGGGCCTGGATGTGGGCCTTTGCCAAATTGCATTTTTTGTGTGGTCCTTCAGGGCAAAGTGAAGGAACAAAAGGACACTTATTTCCTTTGTTACTGACCATCTGAATAAAATAAAGGGATCTTTTTCTCTGTAATCAGGGACTGGGAGCCCAGAAGGGTCCTGGAGGTGAAAGGGGGCTGGCTGGCTTGTACTTCCCAACTCTCAGGAGGTCATCAGGCCTAGAACACGTGTGTCCTGAGTGCCAGGTTCTTTTCTTTTTTTTTTTTTCTTAAATTCTTTTATTGGTACATTGTAGGTATACTACACAATTACATTTCTCATTGGGAATTGTACCTTTACATAATGCATCTTGCTTCTTATTTTTTTCCCCATTCCTAGCCCTCCCTTCACCCCCTCCACCCTTCCCTATTTACAAAGACTTTATTTCCATTTTTTCCATTTCTCAGCATTTTTCCTTTCCCTTCTTTCCTTTCCCCTGTCCCTCCCAATACCCCTACCCTGTTGGACCTTTTCTTCCTATTTTTCATTATCGATTATTCATTCTGATCATTGGTACATTTTAGGTATACAATATAATGACATTCGTCATTGGAAATTTGCACCTTTACATAGTCTCTCTTGGTTCCCATCTTTCACCCTTGCCCAGCCCTCCCTTCAACCCCTCCATTCCTCCCTGTTTACAAAGATTTTGTTCCTATTTTTCCATTTTCTCATATTAATCCCATTCCCTCTTATCCTTTCCCCTAGCCCTCCCACTTCCTTCCCCTTTGCCCCTTTTCTTCCTATTTCACATTACCTATTATACATTTTAGTCCTTATTTACACTTTCAGTTTCTCATACCAGAGAAACTATTTGGTATTTATACATGTGTGTCCTATTTATTTCACTTAAGAGTATCGCCTCAATGTCCATCCACTTAGCTATAAATGTCTCTAATTTATCATTTTTTATGGCTGAGTAGTACTCTATTTTATAAAAAAACCACATTTTCTTTATCCAGTCTCCAGTTGATGGGCATTTGGGCTGTTACCAAGTTTTAGCTATCACAAACTGTGCTGCTATGAACATGGGTGCACATATATCACTGTAGTATGATTCTTTTAATTCTTTGGGGAAGATCTCCAGCAGTGGAATAGGGGGGTCAAATGGGACTTCCAGTCCTAGTTCTTTGAGGTATCTCCATACTGATTTCCACAGTGCTTGCACCAGTCTACACTCCCACCAGCAGTGGAGCAGGGTTCCTCTTTCCCCACAGGCCCGCCAGCATTTGTTATTGGTTGATTTCATGATAGCAGCCATTCTTTCTGGAGTGAAGTGGAATCTCAGCATTGTTTTCATTTGCATCTCTCGAATGACCAGGGATGTTGAACATTTTTTCTTGTATTTATTTGCTATTTCTACTTCTTTGTGTGAGAAATGTCTGTTCCTTTCAGATGCCCATTTTCGGATTGGGTCTTTAAATTTGGGAGGTCTCATCTTTTTAAATTCTTTATAGATTTGAGATAGTAGACCTT